AAATAAATCAGGCCAGTAGCTCTCTTCCTTATTCCAGCTGATGGAGTGGTTTTTCCCCCTAATACTCAATCAAAGTTTCCCTTTCAGAACACAAGAACATGACCAGTGCCCTGCTGCATCAGACCCATGACCCATATAGACCAGCAGTCTCTTCTCTCAATGACCAACCAACTGCCCAAGGAAGTCTATTAGTCTTGCAGCAGGAGACTAAGTCTTCATGAAGGCTAATAGTCATTGAGCCCCATGATCTTCATAAATTGATCCAACCCTTTTTTTGAAGACAACCAAGTTGGTACCCAGCACAACATCTTGTGAAAGCAAATTCCAAAGTTAAAAATTCCTTTCTGTAACTAAAGTCCATATTTCATGGTCTGCACTCCGGAATATTAAAGAAGAGTTCTTGGTCATTTTCTGCACAACATCCTCCAAGTATTTCAAAAATACTAACATATATTCCACTCAGCTATCTTTTCTCAAGACTAAAGATACCTAGTTCCCTCAAACATTCCTTGTAATAGTTAGTTTCCAGGCTCCAGATCATCTTTGTTCCCCTTTTCACGTCTATTCCAATCCCGTCTGAATTGATAAAAATATGTGAAGAATATGTTGCAGGAATTGGGTTTGTCTAATCTAATGAAAAGAAGGATTGGGGTGACATGTTAGCAGTGTTACAACTTTTGAGGGGCTGCCACAAAGAAGAGGGGGTCAACCTATTTTCCAAAGCACCAGAAGACAAGAAACAATGAAAACTAATCAAGGAGAAAACCAACCCAGAACTAAGGAGAAATTTCCTGATAATGAGAACAATAAACTAGTGGAATGGATTGCCTTCAGAAGTTGTGTGCGCTCCATCACTGGAGGCTTTTAAGAAGAGACTGGACATGGTATAGCATCTGAAATGGTATAGGGTCTCCTGCTTGAGCAGAAGATTGGACTAGAAGATCTTTGAGGTCCCTTCCAACTCTGTTAATCTGTTATTCTGGTTTAAAGGATTTTGTCCCAGAACTGGGTAGCAGCCAGTAGGATATAGGTAGGGTCTGTCCATAAAGTTGTTATCAACTTCACTTTCAAGATTCTTTTCATATGACCAATTCTCTTGTGAATTTGATGTCTTTCTCTTCTTTGTCTCTGCTAAACCATACTTCTCTTCCCAAAGCGCCAACACTTGAGAAAATCTGTTGAAGGATATGGAGATTGGAATCTGCTCCATCCTATATTTGAGTATTATCATCTTTTTTAGGATTCATTAAATAGCTAAGATGTTACAAAATACAAGGAACACACTATGGCCCTTTAAGCATTGGTTAAGTAACCCTGAAATTGTTTAAAAGGCAGATTTAAATTTAGAATTCACTTACTCTTCTTTTGAGCTACATTCTTCAAAACACACTCAACATCAAGATACATGCATTACAATATCCAAATTATGTATCAGTGATGCTCATTCTCTACTTAATATATGGTCAGTGCAAAGGCAAGGCATTGATATTTAAAGCTGATGGGTCAATAGCTCCTATGATCCACTGATTACAACAATACCCTCATTCGAATTGGGATCCAACTGGAAGTTAGGGAGAAGGGGGGATGGAGGGGGACCTACTTCTTTAGATAATTGCATAAGTCAATGTGATACGACAGAATCTCAAGGGGCTTCAAGATTTAATGCACTCTGCTTGGCATAATATTGCAGATCTGAAAGACACAAATTATTGCATTAAAGTAGAATTTAATTGGGAAAGGTTAGGATGTAATTGCTGCCTATCTTGCTTTAATCAGAACAGGTCTATGAATAGTTATTAAAAGAGACACTGTAGGTGAATTTTAATAAGGGGCTAACATCACTAAAATTGTAAAATAAACCCTTGAGACCCCAGACATCTCTTGTAAAGGACTAACATGGCTATATAAGTCTGCTCTTGGCAAACCATTATTTGCCCTCTCCTGCCTGTATGACATAGGAAATAGAAGATTCCAGTATGACAACCACAATAGTCTCTGGCAGTGATAACAACAACAAGACCTATCATACCTTAGGTCACACTGTATTTATTGTTTTGTACTAGATGCTTGTTGTTTTGAAGAAATCCCAGTTCTTAGAGATTCTGACATTACTATTAAAGACAAGGACCTCTGGGAAAATACATTTCCTGGGGACCTAATATATTGTCCAAGCAATATCCCAACTCATTAAAGCAGCTATCCACAAAAGCCATTCTGTCCTAAAATCAAATTTTAACTTGATCCTGAGTGGCTGAAATGAATGACCAATGCATAAACATCTCATCTGGTTTAGTTTGGTAGCCTGAAACAGGGTATTTGATACCTAAAAAACAGGTCCTCAACTTACAACAGTTCATTTAATGACCGAAGTTACAACAGCACTGAAAAAAGTGACTTATGACCATTTTTCACACTTATGACCTTTGCAGCATCCCTGTGGTCACATGATCAAAATGCAGACACTTGGCAACCGGTTTATATTTATGACAGTTGCAGTATCCTGGGGGCCACGTGATCCCCTATTTGTAAACTTCTGACAAGCAAAGTCAATGGGGAAGCCAGATTCATTTAACAACTGTTTTACTAACTTAATAACTGCACTGATTCACTTAACAACTGTGGCAAGAAAAGTCATAAACTGGGACAAAACTCACATAACAAATGTCTCGCTTAGCAACAGAAATTTTGGGCTCAATTGTGTATTCTTGGACAGCTTTATAGAAATGCATCTCAAGTTGTCACACAGATCAAACCTCCTAGGAACCACGCAGGGATGTAACTCAAGGCAAGACATCTTGCCATCCTGAGCATCTTCAAAGAAGGACTGTCTAGAAGAGTCATCATCCCTCTGGGTCCAATTACTGTGTAGTCAACATGGGACAATATTTTTCACTGCAATGTCAGCCATAAATATCAATTGATGTTAATAATCTCTGGCCTCATTCCTAGAGTCATTTATCCCATTCCTTTATGTCCATGCATCCTTTTTTCTTTTTTTAGCTTTATCATCACACAAATGCAATGACAACCACAGAACTAAAAGACACAAAATAGCATAAATTGATAGATGTGCTGAGTAGCCACCAGCCTTGCGCAGAAGTCAGATGGAAACAGTGGTTCATCCACATAACCTATGACCATAATGACAACAGGAAAATTGGTGGTGGAGGGGAAGACACAAAAGTAGGGAATTGCCAAGGGCATGAAGATGGTGAAGGAACTAGAGTTTTCTCCCCCGAGCCATCCCACTCAAATTTTTATCATGGATCCAGAGACAGTCTAATTTGAAACAAACAAAAAAATTCTACTAGGCCCAACTAAGCCTCCTTCAAGAAAATATTGGTTAATATTCTGCTTCTTATCCTTCATTATGAGATGATAGAATTTTAGAAATGTCCAGTTACAGTACAGCACAACCAGTGATTTCAAGAAAGCAGGAAAGAGACACTCCTTTTAAAACTATTTGTATATTGTATCTACATTCAAAGCACTAATAAAGACTGCCCAACTGATTCTAACATCATTTGTCAGGTTTATACTATGCACACGTATTTGATATTCTTTCAAAGTGGAGTTTTATTATCATATATGACCAGGAGGTGAATCTGGAATATATCTCCCAGGTTCTAAAGGTGTTTGAGGTTTACAAAATTAAGGGGCCTTTCTGTAGGAAAAAATAATAATCAAGGGTTGATAGCCATATTTGAAGAAAAAAGACTTCCAGGAGAGAATTAAAAAATTCAGAAGGCTGAAGAGAGGCAGAACTGCAAGGGAAGTGAATCCTTGGGGTGTGAGTTGACAAACCAAGGCAACACTATGCAAGGCACCATGGCAGAGTGCGCAAAGATTGGAGTGTAGAATAATGAGGCTCCAAACCTTATCCCAACAGAGTGAAATCATGTCCTTTAATTCCTAATGTCAGCTTGAGGTGGTTTGGAATCCATAGCTTGTTTTACTCAATTCAATATTGGCTTCCCAAAACTCTCCTAGCAAAAGATGGCAAGCATTGTGATTATGTCAAATCTAGAGAGTCCCAGTTTGAAGAAGGCTCTGTTACGGGAAAAAAAGAGAGAGAGAAGCAAGGGGGGGGAGGATAAACTGGACACCTTTACACCTTCATTATGAACATAAAAAAGGGCAATAATTTAAGATGACAAGCAGAAGCCACTAATTTTAATACTGTTCGTGATAAGCAAGTGATATATAGTCATTATGATTGCATACAACTTTATCCTCTCCTCCATAAAATTTGTCAATTCCATTTTTAAAGTTAATGGAGTTGGCAGCTACCACTGCATTTTCTGAACCTGAATTCTCTAGTTTCATTATGCACTGCACTTCCTTTCAATCATCCTCAATTTCCCCCTGTGTAGTCTTGCATGATAATGACAAGAGAGAAATGATTCTCTTTCCTCTCCCCAAAGCATGCAAAATATTATTCACATCCATCTCTTCCTAGTTCACTCCACCTTTTGCCTTAATTTATGGGACTACAGCCATTTCTCTGAACCCTTAGGCAGAATAGGGCAACGTAGCAGATCCTGGAGAGTGCAAATGAGATGAAAAGTATGTATGAGTATCACAGCTAAGACCCTACTCTCAAAGACAACAGAATCAGAGAATTCTGAAACGTTCATTGTACTTATTTATTAAATTTATATGCTATTGAAGCAACTCTGGGCGGCTTCATAGAATTCTATGAACCATAGAACTGGGGCAAGTAACCCATTAAGGTTAGCCTTCTGTTTAGTGCAGGAAATGAAATAAAATTCATCTGCAGCGTGACCAACAACTGTATAATGGAATTTTAGTGAGTGCCATTTCTCTTTCTTTGCTTCAGGCAACATACTATATTGAATCAGCTCCGCATTCCTGCTGCCCTTTTCTGGACCTTCTCTATGTGTGCTAAGCCATCCAGCATCATTATTTAACAGCAAAGTCATCTCTAGGTTCTTAGAGGAAGGAGGGGATACAATACCACAAAGATCACTTTCACTTGCCTTGTTCCATAATTTCCAGGAGGCCTTTCTTAATTAGCTCGTCCCGGCCTTGCCTTGTGGATGTCTTCTTCTCTAACACTGCAAAAAGGGGGGTGAGTATGATCAACATGGAACATCAGAGTTGACAGTCAATGGAAATGAATAGTCTAAGAAGACTGCATGAATGAATGAAGGATGTCTGGCTTGAAATATGGCATAATAAATGGAAGACCACCAGTAATAGTCATTTTTTTTTCCTCTGTTTTATGCAAACTGCACCAATGATTCCTAATTTTTGTATTCCATTCTTCATCAAGTAGTTCAGGGGACTATTTCAATGATTTAGAGCTAGCAGTCGTTCTTAAACCAGCATCTTTTAGACAAGTTGGATAAAACCAGCAAGTCAACATTGGCAGAAGGTAGTGGAAAGTACATTGAAGCAAGTCAGGTCAGGACAATCTGATTTAGGATACAAATCCAATTTTTCCCAGTTGACTTTAAACACTACACCAAACTGGTTATATATTTTGCTTTCTGTAATCAAATTGAACCCACACCTTTCTCCTAATCCTCTATGGGGACTAAATCATATCTTTAAGGCTTTCACATCTCATTATCACACTCAAGGAGACAACCTAAAGCAAGGTTGCATTTTTTTTTTCTGGGCCAGGATTGGTCTATGCTGGGAATAGGCTAGGACCCTGGTATACTAGGCCAAAATTAGGAATAGGACTAGGACAAAAAATTAAATTTGATTTCATTTACATTTAAATATAATTAAAATGAAATATAGTTACTGCAATTATTCCTTAGTCATGGACTTAACTGTTTTCTTCTTTTCTCACATTATTAATTACAACTTGCTAACAGATTTTATTTATTTAGATCCTACCTTTATTATTTTTACAAATAACTCGAGACACAAACATATCCAACACACCTTCCTCCTCCTATTTTCCCCACAATAACAACCCTGTGAGATGGGCTGACAGAGAATAACTGGCCCAAGGTCACCCAGAGGGCTTGCATGGCTAAGGTGGGACTTGAACTCATAGTTTCACGATTTCTAGCCTGGTGCCTTAATCATTAGACCAAACCAAATCAAACTAGACTAAACCTTAACCACTAGACCACTTTTGAATTGGTATGCTCTAAGGGCCATACCAAAGATTTTACGGATTCAACAGATGCTCAAGTTGTCTATCTGTGTTCAGTGGCAGGTCAAGTGTCCATGCAAGACTATCTTGATTGACAGTATCACCTCCCACCAATGTAAAGATTGGCAGTTTTAGAATGATTCAGAAGGAGAGGCAGCATTGGTACCCCAGGCCAATAGCTACTTACCTTAGCCGAAAGCTGGCCCTTTCTGTGTCATCATGGGAAATGCTTGGTTTATAGCTCAGCTAAATAATTAATATACCACTTATTGCCTACCCATCACTAAAAACTATTCCAACTGGTTAAAACCCCACTTTGAGGGCACTGGTTTTCCCACCTTCTGTCACAGCTTTTAGCTGGACCAAGAGATAATAGGATGACTCCAATTTCAAATAATGTATAGTGAACGTACAGTAAGCACGAGATCATATCATAGCACTGTGCAATTTCTAAAATGCAGAATGTCCCACAGTTGTCTCCATGGGTTGAAGCACAACTATTGCTCAGTGGTGCTGTCAGTGCCAGAAAAACACACATGTGGGGACTATGATGTTTAGGAGAACCCAATAGATTTTTAAGAGCTCATTGGTAGCATTTTGAGATAGGAGGTGATAGCTTCCTTCCAATAAAAGAGGAAGGATGGTGAAAGAAGTATAAAGCTGGAGGGAACCAACAGGTCTTGCTGGGAGATGTTTAGACTAAACTGCAAGCAGGAAATCTCAGTTTGGTTCATAGTTTGCTAGAGCCACATAATAAAGCACTGATGGGCCCTAGGTTCTCTTTAGGAACATGGATGTTTTATTTTGCTGACTCAGGTGAAGCTGTTCATAGTTAGATAGGGCTATTGGCAGCTCTCTGGAAAAGGGATCACAAGAAGCAAGAATATTTTGGACGAGAGCGAGTTAGACTACGTGTGATTCTTCCTCATTAATATCATCACAAATATAAAAGCATAAACTACAAACCATTATGACAGGGTCACCCCAGAGAGAAGAGAGAGATCTAGATAGATGATAATGATGATAAGATGAAGATGATGATGGAAACACAAAGATAAATAGAATAGATAGATGATAAATAGATGATAGATGATGAGAGAGAGAGCGAGAGAGAGAGAGAGAGAGAGAGAGAGAGAGAGAAATAGAGAGAGAGAAATAGAGAGAGAGATACAGACAGACACAGACATAGACACAGAGATAGACATGGAGTGAAATAGAGATAGGCAGATGGAAATGGAGATGAAAAGTTACAGAGAATAAAAAAAGATATGGAGGAGGAGGAGAAGGAGGAGGGAGAAGGAGATGGAGTTGGACAGAGTAGAGAGATCTAATCAAATCTGACATTTTTAGCTTTGTTTGAAATCATCTAAGTTGAGCTAGATATTGCCACATTGTCCTTTGTCAGCCTAAAAATAACATTTTGGTGAAAATGGTTGATGTGGCGACATATCCAAGATTTTTCTGAAGCTTCAGGCTGTGTATCACTGTTTTAAATGCTGTCAAATCTAATAGAGTATTTTTTCCCCTGAACTATAATAAGTTAGCCTTTTTAAAAAAAATTGTCATAAGGTTTTTTCTTTTTGCTGTTTAGGTCTTCTGCTAGTTATTGTGGACTGTCTCCAAATTTTTATTTTCTTTGATTTATCATGCAGCCTGAATGCGGCCCCTCAAAACCATTTATCCTAAGTATTTTATCTATATCTCATACTGAAATCTCTTGCTTTGCCCTCAAATAGCACTCTTGGCAGCCATACTACAGGTAATCCTCATTTAATGATCAGTTGCTTAGCAGCTGTTTGAAGTTGTGACAGACCCCCCCCAAATGTATTTATTTCAAAGTTCCACATACCCCCCGCAATGCCTTGATCGCATTTTGTGTGCTTGGCAATCAGCTTGCATTTACAGCTGTTTGCAGCATCCCACAATCACGTGACGACATTTTTTGACACTTTTTACCACTTTCTGGATTTACTCCCAGTTTGAGGGGGAAAAAAACATCCAGTGGGTATAATGAATTCATTTGACTGTGGCATTTGCTTAACAATGGCAGCAGTTGCTTAATGATCACCACATAAGGTCATAAAACTGGGCTTGGTCACATGGCGATCCACTTAATGACTGCCATAACTTACAACAATAAATCTGGGCTCAATTTTGGTGGTAAGTCAAGGACTACCTGTACCAATTTCTTAAGTGGAGGGGGTATTTCTGACATCTAGAAGGAAAAATTTCCTGGGCTAATAAAGTCAATGTGTACAGAGAGAGGGAACACAACAGCCCCCAGGTACCAATGTGCCTGCAGACCTATCTCTGTCGCCAGCCTCTTTGATTTCTTTTATTTCCAAATCAATTTTGACTCCTGGCAACTACATGAACAAGTCTGGGTGATTTTCTTAGTAATTTCTTTGGAAGTGTTTGCCATGGCCACCTTCTTCCTTTGAGGAGAGAAGCTACTGGCCCAACGTCACTCAGTTTTCTTCACGCCTCAGGCAGGACTAGAACTCATAGTCTCTTTGTTTCTAACTTGTTCCTTTGACCACTCCTCCAACCTGGCTTTCTCCTATTTAATTACCTGCTTGTTTTACTGTATTTATATGTCACCTGATAGAATGTCTCTATTGCCTGTAGTTAATTTTTTAAAATAGGAGGCTGGTAGGCTGTGGAGTAAAGCGCCAGCTTTTAGCACCAGCTTTCTCAGCAATGCCCCGTGTAGGTTTCAGACATTCTTCCAAAATAAAACACAAACACATGTCACCCAATCTTGTTTGGAGAGGGGCATATCTACTGAGAAAGAGAAAGAGAAAGAGAAAGAGAAAGAGAAAGAGAAAGAGAAAGAAAGAAAAGCATGCCGGGATAAAAAGGAATCATCCAGAAATGGACACGGGAATCTGCATTCTTGTAAATGAATATTCTGCACCTCCTTACATCCATGATGGCAGTCATTTGTGAACAGGTAAACCTCCTCTAATGATGTCCATGTTGGGAAAGTGTCCATGAGATGTTCATGATATTCCAACCAAATGTCTGTAGAAATTCTCAGTCATCCAGGTCATAGTTATCCCAAAGATGCTTTTTCAAGAGGCAACTGAACTCTCTTGTTTTTCTTTGAAGACCTTTTGCTTCTCATCCAGCTCTGACTAAATGATGGGGAATGGCAGGCTTTTATACTTGCAGACAGCTGGTCATTTGCATTCTTTTAGCAAGTCGTTAATGCTACTTGGAGACTTATCTGTGTCCTCAGGGTCACCTGAGTAGTGCAAATGGGTGTGGAGCCTTCTTGGAACTGTTCAAAGGACTGTGTTGTAGACTGGAAATAGATGATGTCATAAACCTCCAGGTGGCTTCAACGACTCTCTAAAACAGACATGTCAAACACAAGGCCCGCGAAGTGGTTTCATGTGGTCCACGAAGCCAACCTGGAAACAGTGAGGGAACGGCCCCCACTGCCTTGGCCCTGGCCCTGGCTCAGGCCAGCCGGGAGCCAATGTACAATTTTGTGGTGGCCTTCTATGCTGAAACGCATTCAGTCTTAGCTCCACAAGGCTGTCCAGAGGAACCAGCCCCTGCCGCGTCGGCCCCGCCCCCTGGGTGCATGCTGGGGAGGTGTCACCCTTTGTGAGGAATGAAAAAATGCACCATCGCCTGGAAGTGGCCAGCAAATGGCCCTCGCCTACTTCACATATCCGGTTTGATGGGCTCTGCCCTGGTCCCACCCCTTTCTGCCAGAGACCCTTAGATCTGTCCCACTCCTGCCCAGGCCCCCACAAGCACCCTTGATGCGAATGATGTAGAGCTGGTCATGCCCACCCAGTAGGCCACACCCACTCCATCCACGCCCACCCAGTAGGCCGCACCCACTCTGGCCACACACCCCCAGCCCCCCCCAAGGGCAACCGCATTGCTGATGCGGCCCTCAATGAAATTGAGTTTGACACCCCTGCTCTAAAAGAATGCAAATGACCAGTTGTCTGCAAGATATATAAATCCTGCCATTCCCCACCATCCAGTCAGAGCTGAAGAAGCTTCTTGGATGAGAAGCAAAATGTCTTCAAAGAAAAACAAGGAAGTCCAGTTGCCTCGTGAAAAAGCATCTTTGGGATATTCCAACTAGTTCACTGGCTCCAAAATATTGTCTGACCAGCTTAGGTTTCTTGTTTTAAAAGCAAATTGTGGATTGCAGATCTTTCAGAAACTCAAAGAACTGCTGATAATTGGAGTCAATAATGTTGCACAACTTAGTTTATCGTAATATAAGGCAATTCCCAACAACATACTTTTGCTGAATGTTGAAGAATTTTGAAGAAATGTAGCAAATAAAGCTATATTAAGATGCAGCCTTAAAATGTTTAATCAGTCTATCAGGCTATCATAACAGGTACAGAGACAGTAAAACAGTTATCAACCTTTATAATATAAGCTGTGAATCTTTACAAACTTAAGGTTGAATAATTTTATCAATGAAGTTGAGCATGACTGAAGGCTACATTCTGAAGTTAATTCCCAAAGTAATTAGAGGATATTTATTTTAAACTCATTTCTTCATTCATTTTGAACCAGAGGAGGCCATCTAACAGATTGAAAAGCAACCAGAACCATTGCACTTATTCTGTACCTATACATTAATCTTATTTTGTACTGAAGTGGTGGAACTTTAACATACAAGCTGAGTACAGGTAATCCCTAAGTTGTGAGCGCTTCCTTAACCAACATTCGAGGTTACGCAATAAGCGCCCCCTAGTGTTTACAAAAAGTCCCAAAATTACAAATGTTGCTGCACCACAGCGGTCATTCACTCTTATGAATGACCACAGTGGCATTGCAACATTCACCCTGGCTATTTCCTCCCTCCTTCCACCACCCTGGGTCTCCCTAAGCACTAGACTTTGGATACTCATCATGCAAAGATCAAAATCCTTCACTGCCTTGGTTACTCCAGGCCTTCGGTGTGTCCGCAGAGAATGGAGACCTAAAGGCAAGATCATGAGAGATCAGTGGTGCGAGATCTCATGCTACTGATCTCACATGATCTCACAGTACTTTAAGATTCTGTTCTCTGCAACAGAGAACAGAACTGAAGCCGGGGGAGGCTTTGGCGTGCCTCTGGAGGCCCGATCCAGACATCAGAGGCCTTTTCCAAGCCACTGCCATCTGGAAAGGAGGCTGGGGGATGCTGGGCATCGGTGGCCTTTTCTGGGCTGCTGCCACCTAGAATGAAGGTTGGGGACACTTCTGCGAGCCTCCAGAGGTCCATTCTTGGCCTTGGAGGCCTCCTCCAGGCCTCCAAGGTCCAGAACGGAGGCCATGAGTGGCGGCTACGTGCTTCCGGAGGTCCATTCTGGGTCTCGGAGGCCTCCCTCTGCTCTTGTCAGGAGCAGAGAAAGAAAAGCGAGGCTGGAGAGGAGACAGATCTTCACAAGGTAAGTGACCCGGCACGGCAGGATTGGGCAGGGAAGCAATTGTGGGACCCCAGGGGAGGGAGCATGAAGTATCTCAGTGAGAGCTTGGGTGGTCTGAAGCAGATGGCCTGTTCCATTACAAGGCCCTTCATGGCTTTCCCCACCCTGAGATACCTCATGTTCACTTAACGAGCCACACATTCGCCCACACATTAAATTAGCTAATGCGTGGGTGAAAGCTGGGAGTGAATCACGTTCAAGGTACGAGATTCACTCCTACGAATCCTCAAGTTACGAATGGGATCCATTACATTCGTAACTCGAGGACTACCTATATACCACTAGTTAGCATTTGGCAATCCCTTGTCACAAAGAAAAAAGCAAACACTGTAGTCACATTTGAAATCAACAGGGATGGCAAGAAAAAAATAATAATAGAAAGGTGAGATTTCCTAATAAGAATTAATATGTAGAGGCACCTGACTAACCAGCTCCTTGGTGGTTCTGTGTTGAACTTTAAAATAAATTATATATGAGGAAAACATGGGTTCTAATGTCTGTCTGTCTGTCTGTCTGTCTGTCTCTACCTGCCTGCCTGCCTGCCTGCCTGCCTATCTGTCTGTCTGTCTGTCTATCTATCATCTGTGTGTGTGTGTGTGTGTGTGTGTGTTCGTATGTAAACACACATGCTTTTTTCCTCTTTCAACTATCAAGGGAATTGGTTAGGAACTAGACTAGACTCTTTACAATCCTGAGCTTCTGAAATGTTTGTTCAACTGCACTTCTGGAATTGTATCAAATACTTCCCGCATAGTTTCCATTAAGACACTGGCCTTTGAAATTTGCTTCTTAAAGAATAAAAGCCAAAATTCTCAGGACAGCTGTATTTGGAAACCTAGAGAATCTGCTCTATTTTTTTCCACGCTTGAAAACAATGTATGTATGGTCCTGGCACTTTTTCAGATACACAGCAATCTGCATCCCAGCCGTCCAAGTCCTGCCATTACTTTGCTGTGCCAAACAGGTGGTGCCTGCCACTTACCTGTAGACGATTGCTTCAGTTTCTCATTCTTCTTTTTCCTCCACTTCCATGGTTTGAAAATCCTGCCCAACGTGGCTAGTTTGCTATTCCTTCGGACAGGAGGAGTTCGGATCCCTGAGACCAGATATTCAGAACGCACTGCGGGGGATTGATCCATTTCCTCTGAGAAGGGAGTGAGAGAAAACAGTTTTAGTGGTTGAGGAAAGGAAAACATCTTGAAGAGATTAAAGTACTGGTAAAGCTTGAAGCTGTGTTGGATCGGTGGGTGTCTGGGCTTTTTGTTGTTTTGCAGAGAAATAATGCTTAATTGGGTTCCTATGTTGGAACACACAAAGGAAAAGGGGGAAAAAAAGCTTGAGTTAACTCCCAACTCTGTTTAACAAGTAAAAATAGCTCGTTTGACATTAATGGGAACATTTATTTTCCCCAGTCAATAGCAGACACACTCTGCAATCTATCTCTGGTTGAAGTTCCACATTCTCTACTAAAGTCCCAGTTGGTCCCCAGTGCTCATCAGGTATGAAAAACCAACCCTACTTTCCAGGAAAAACCACATGATGTGGAAGCATGAAAGGGGTCTGACCCTTTCTCAGGCTTGATCCCTAGCATAACAGAGTTCTATTTCGACATTTTATTTGGCATCTATCTGTCTGTCAAGTTTGGAAGGATGCCCAAATCCATAAAAACTCTGGGCAGGGTAGAACATTAAATAAGGAAAAGAACAATGTGCTGTACATCTGCAAGAGAAACAATTAAACCAACATAAAATCTTATAAAGGACTTGGGTAGAGAGTAAAGAAGATGACCTTGACAGAAATGTACAGAAACTGTTGCCTAGGCAAAAGGAGATGAAGGAATTTTAAAGTGTGCAGAACAAAATAACATTTGGAAAGGGGTCAGGCAGATACATCCCTAATTTACTGAAGTATAAGGAGAAGGACAAAGAACAGTCAACCAGACTTTCAATGTTCTATCATTATAGCCAATCTCAATAAAAGTAGTTTTAGCCATCCTGCAGAATTGATTTTATGCTCTGCCCTATCTAATGGGGTTGGCAGCTCACCACCCATCCTAAACCCAAAGGCGTGGAGAAACAGCCGTGTTATAATGCTGTCAGAGTAGGGGCACTTGTAGATCTCTGGAGGAATCCTGTTCCAGAGGGCAGATGCTGGGACCCAAAAAGGTGTACTTCCCAAATTCAGATAGTGATATTGATGGATGGGGCCCATAATATGCCCAATCTGTCCAATTACATAGGACGAGCAGAAGCCTTTGGAGGGATAACCCTCAGGAAATCAGACTCCATGCCACAACAGCTTTATGAGTGATAACCAGCAACTTAGATCACACTTAGAAGCTAACTGGCAACCAAGGAGCAATGATGTCACATGGGCATATTGAGACGTGCCCATTATTGTCTACAGTTGTGGTCTGGGCTGTTGTAGCTTCTAAGTCAGGGGTCTCCAACCTTAGCAGCTTTACAACTTGCTGACTGAGGAATTCTGGGTGTTGCAGTCCACAAGTCATAAAGTTGCCAAGGTTGGAAACCCCTGTTCTAAGTGACCTTCAAGGGCATCTCCATATAGAGTTCATTGTAGTAGCCCAAACATAAGGTGATTACCGCATGCATGACGTTCTGAACCAATGTTCAGTGAATGGCACTGGAAAGGAATGAGCATTTTCAGTCACTTTCCCTCAAAAGGATGAAAATAAATTTTCAAACAAGAAAATTCTGGGGGAATGTTGTTAAAGAGAGGCAACATATACCGATTGGTTGATTGATTTGATTTATTTAATTTATATAGCCATTTATCTCACATATGTAACTCTAGGCAGCTTATAGTAAAAACTAGAAAAACTACATGAAATACACACAATACAAAAACTAAAAACATAGCAGCTGAGCATCGTATCGGGCATAAAACCTAACTTTACCATAATTAAAACATAGACAAGGATATGTGCCTATGTGTGCATCCTTCCTGTCATAGTATATCTTGTGGGCTTCCAAACTTTAATAAAATCCCAGCACTTGTCATCAGAAGAAAATTATAATTTCTGACTTTTTTGGGGGGGGTCTTTTCTCTTTATGTGCTTTCTTGTTGTATATTTTTTTTTCATTCTCTTTGGTGATTGATCATTTTTACCTTATGCATGTTTGTTTGAAGATGGATTAATAAAACAGTGCATCATGGAAAAAAAGAGAAAGCTTTTTTCTTGAGGATTTTTTTCCAGATTTTTCTTTTTTTAAAAAAAAAAGGCAGAGAGGTTGCAATGGGATAGAGATGCAGAACAGGAAAAACAAAAACAGAACTGCATCTTGCGCAATTTAGCAAGAGCAAAAAGAAAGGAAAAATAAACATTAAAACATTTCAAACCAATCCAAAGACTCTCAGATGTAATGAGGTAGAAAAACAGAAGCCACTTTTGTAAGGGTTTTACAGAGGGTAGATTCAGCCCAATATTAGCATAATCACCATGTTATTTTGAGCTAAATTTCATACAAGGCCAGACACGCTATTAAGATAGAAGATATCTAAAAATGTGCAAGGACACACAAGTCCAAATGCAACATCTCCTTACAAATAAACTGTTACAGCTTTAGCTGAACAAAACCTCCACCCAACAGCTACAGTCCTTTTAAAATTACCCTTGCTCTGTGGGTCAAAAGTGATTTTAAAAAAAAAGAAGCATATTTATAACTGTGAGAGGGATCTCAGAGTCCTAGTGGACAATCACTTAAATATGAGACAGCAGTGTGCTGCAGCTGCCAAAAAAGCCAACACAGTGCTGGGCTGCATTAACAGAGGGATAGAATCAAGATCACGTGAAGTATTAATACCACTTTACAATGCCTTAGTAAGGCCACACTTGGAATACTGCATCCAGTTTTGGTCACCACGATGTAAAAAAGATGCTGAGACTCTAGAAAGAGTACAGAGAAGAGCAA